TCATAAAAATTGGAAACTACAGGAAACAGTTAATAAAAAGCTATCCTTTGTGTAACTGGAGGTTTCTCTCCTGCCTTCCAGTTCCCAAATAACCACTCTGAGGCTTAAAATTATTTACAAACTGTTTAGCATTAGCTAAAGCTTATTGTTAACTAGCTCTCGCAATTTAACTTAACCCAGTTTATTATTCTGCATTTGACTGCGAGGCTTGTGGCTTGTTACCACACATCTTGCTTCTCTGGCTACTGTTGGCATCTCTCAGACTCCACCTTCTTGTTCTCTTATCTTTGCTTGAATTTCCTGCCTGACTCTATTCTGCCCTGCCTTAGGCCATAGCAGCTTTTTTATTAACTAATGATAATAAAACATATTCACAGCATACAGAAGGGTATCCCACTTTTCTGTTTAGTTAAAAAGGAAGGTTTTAACTTTAACATTGTAAAATTACATATAATAAAACAATTTTCAAGCAAGGATTACAGTTATAATATTTAGTCTATTTGTAGCAAAATTAAAATACTCTGTCTTTGAGAGCTTAAAGTTTTATATTTATCTTTTATTATAACTACAGAAAGCTATAGCTATCTAGTCTTCAACTCCATCAAAGATCCCAGAAGGCTATAATATTACCTAAGTAAACAGGAAGTGCATTGTAAGGAACTTCCACAACTCTAGAAATGACAGAGACATCTGGCTTCCTGGCCAGTCACTCATAGTTCTCTAATGTCAGTGCATCCATCTTCAGCCTACAGGCCCGTAGTATCTGGCAGACTTTTCAATGAAGCAGGAAATTTGAAAGGCTGTCCGACCTATATTGTCAGCTTGTCAATCACTTTTTTCTGTGTCCTTTAGAGTGTCTGGCAGTTTATTCTGTGAAGCAGAAACCCTGAAGGACCACCCTACTTTGTTTTGACAAAGTTTAGTGGTCATTTTCTTGTGGGTCCTGCATGTTCAGTTTATACAGCATATAGCCAAGCCATCCAGGCAAGAGCAGTTTTTTTTTTTGTTGTTGTTGTTTTGTTTTGTCCAAATGGCTAGCTTTGCCACATTAAAAACAAACTCCATAAGGAACTTCTTCAATGCCCATCATCCTCTTGAAATTATTGGTGCTGCCAGGAGCAGACATGTCTCACTGTTGAGAAAAGTCTAAGTTCTTAAAATATTTTAAATGCCATATTCTGTATGTCTTTGAAGTGTTTGAAGATTACCTATTCATCTGAAATATATCTCATATCTCATGCATATATAGAAAACCTAACTAACATGATTGTAAGTTTGACTATTATAGATGACTTTTAATTTGTATTTTTGACTATACATTTTAAAATGAGATGCATAAACATATTTAAGAGTAGAAATATACATATAACAGAATTGACTTTAAATTTTTATCAATAAACCAAAATCCATACAAGTATAAAGTATTTTGAGATTAACAGTTGTTTTTGGATTAAAGTAGATTCAATAATCTACCTCTTTTTCATCATTTCTATATCATATCCCTCTTTTTTCTTTAGAAAGAGATTGACTATGACCATTGATCATTTATAATCAGTCACCTTTAAATGAAAGCAAATATTTATAAATAATATTTTGGGACTTTGGGTGTAGTTTTGTTTATTCTGCTTCCTGCTGATTGGGGGTGCTGGTAATATTATGGGGATCCTGATAAAATTTAGAATTATGGTTAAATCTTGACTGTAGTAGTCTGTGAGGCCACATCATCTCAGGCAGTTGTCTTGAAGCTGCTCTGGATGTTGAATCACCTTGGCCATCACTCCCATGGAGATCTCTTAGGGGGTCTTGCTGGATCAAACTATATTAGCCTGGAAGGAATTCACAGCTTCTCATCTACTGTGGAAACAAAAGTAGATCCTCTTTTCCAAAGCCACATAACCTTAGACCCAAATTTTGAAGTCAAGATACCTTTATGTTGGTTTAGCTTAGCAGCTCCCACAATCAAATGTCTCTCTGCAGTTAGTTCATTAACAGTCAAAAAATTCACACGTAGTATATATACATAATCTGGACTCTATATTTTCCATTTATTAATAATATTTTTATTGCTCTATTTACTTTTTAAGAACCTCAGTTTATTATCTTTATTTTTTTAATCTATGACTCTGTTTATCCTATATCTTCTCTCTCTCTCAAGCCTGTGCAAATTTCTCAAACATTATGACCCATTTAGAGGCCTTTTTGTCTGAATCTGTCTTTATTGTGCATCTGTAATCATTTTTAAAAAGAGTTTTAAAAATACTAAGCAGGCATGGCTAGGACCAAAACCTTGGCTTTGACTGATGGCTCTGCTGTATTCGGGTTTCCAACATGACAAAGATATGTTCTGTGCCCGGGATCCATGCTCAGCACTTCAACTCTAGGGGCACAGTGAGTCCATCAAGTAGCTTGCAGCATGCTACCCACGAATCTCATTCAAATGTTCCATAGCAGGACCTCTTGAAAGAGCAGTCCCTGCTGCTAGCATGAACCAGGAAGTCATCTCTTAAAGGAGTTGTGCATCAGTTCAACTCCAGCAAATAACAGCCTATCTGAAAAATTAGAGCTACCAAGAAACTGCACTTGACTCCCATTTTTGTGGGTCTAGAAGCCCTCCTTTTTTAAGTCTTATGTGGGTTTTTTTAGGTCTTATGTGGTTTTATGCCAGATGGTGGGCACCATTTTTAATTGGAATTGTCTCTCCTGCCCACTAGTTGGCGAATAACCACTCTGAGGCTTAATATTAACTACAAACTGTTTAGCTTATTAGCTCAACCTTATTATTAACAAGCTCTCACAACTTAAATTAACCCATTTCTATTATTCTATATTTTACCATGAGGCTTGTGGCTTGTTACCTCACATCTTGCTTCTCCAGCGGCTGCTGGCATCTCCCAGACTCCGCTTTTTTTCTTCCTACATTCAGTTTAATTTTCCCACCTGGCTATATTCTGCCCTGCCATAGGCCAAAGTAGCTTCGTTATTAGCCAATGGTAATAAAACATCGTGACAGCATCCAGAAGGGCATCCCATATCACCTTTGTCCCACCATTAGTGATGGATCACTACTTACAATATTCTGTTAGTTTTTTTCTTTGTGATTATTTATTTATTTATTTATTTTGTTTTTACATTCCTACCACAGTTTCCCCCCCTCCTCCCTCCCAGTCTCTCTGCTCCACCCCCACTCTACTCCTCCTCCTCTGTTTCTCTTCAGAAAAGCTTGGGCCTCCCATGACTGTCAGCCAGCTATGATATATCAAGTTGCTATTCTGTCAGTTTTTTTTTTCCTTCAGGACAGGTTTCTTTGTGTATCTTGGAACTTGCTCTGTAGAGAAACCTGGCCTTGAACTCACAGAGATCTGCCTGCTTCTGTCTCCCAAGTGCTGGGATTCAAGGTGTGTGCCGCCACCACCACCCTGCCATTCTGTCAGTTTTTAAAGTATACTTCTTTAAACCCTATTTGCCTTGTTGGCAGTGGTCGATGCCAGTTACTCCATTGTAGAACCATAGTTCACTGCTGTAGAAACAGCTCTGTTTCCTGAAGATATACATGTTTATATATTTTCACATTTGTATGTTACATGCATTTTACTGTCTTACCAATTGTGAAAATATCATTTTCAGTGTGGATGATCTGAGCACTCCTGGTGACCATTGGCCCACTCATTGAGAATCTCTGGGTGGAGCAGTCAGAGCTCATGAGGAGGCTCGGGGTGCTCTGGTGACCTTAGGGCTTGTTAGACTGCTTCAAATGGCTGAAAATAGGTGTTCTGTGCACCTCCTCTGTTGGCTCAAATGGGGCCTCTCTGCAATTCTATGTAAGACATCAGGTAATACAGTTGAATACAGAGCTATCTCTGTGCCTCTGTGATTTTAGAGAATACCCTCATTAAGAATGATTTCTCTGGGTGAGAAAGATAGGTAGCTTGGTGGTTAAGAGCACTGTGGCTGCTCTTGCAAAGGACCTGGATTCAATTCCCAGCACCTAGTTGGCCTCTCATACAGTCTGTAACTCCTCTTCCAGGGGATTTGGCACCATCTTATGGCCTCCATAGGCATTTCATGTGCACAGGCAAGCATGAAGACAAAATACTTGGATACATTAATACAAAAAAAAAATTCATCCAAGTGCTGAATACTCTTCTAGGATTGCCCTATGATTTTTATGTTTGGCAGTGATGCCATCCTTTCAAGTCTGACTCCAAAATTAGTTTTTACTGTGATGGCCCCTGATTGACACTGGAATTACTACTTTATTTTAGGTATATATGTATGTATCTCTGTGTGTATATATGTATGTATTTATGTATGATTTTGAGGGAGAGGCTTACTTCTGTAGTACAGGGTGACTTAGAATTCACTATCCAGTCCACACTGGCCTCAAACTAATAGCTGTCCTTCAGCCTTAGCCTCCCAAGCGCTGAGGTCACAGGCATAGATCACCGTATCTGGCTGTTCCTGATTTTAGTTTCCTTCCAGCTGTATTGTAGAGACTGCCTGACAGCAGAACTCATTGTCTCCTCTCTAAGTACAAGCCTGTAGTATTTCCCACCCATTCCTGGGTGGGAGTGGCTTCCCTGCGTCTTTGCCTTTCTTGTAACTTTCAACAATTGTTTTAGAAAAATTGAAATATTCCATATACACGGGAAACACGTATTAGTCGTGGAAGTGGCATTATGGTGTCATGGCTTATGTTTGTTTAGTTTCTGTTTGTTGGTGTTTTGCATACATACACATACATAGTTTTAAAAAGTTATATCAATCTGGGTGGTATGTAGCCTTTTAGTAAACACTGTTCTTCAAACATTTTCCCATGTCCTCCATTGTTTTGTTCCATAATGCAGATACGTTCTAGCCTCTGCCTCCTGCTGGACTTTGAATTCTCACATTCTTTCACCTATGTTCTTAACTGTAGCTTTGCATCCTTGGTGTTTGGTAGATGTGACACATTATACTGATGACTGTATTAATGTTGTATTTCTTGTCTTTTCCTTTTACAGGTAATGTGGCTTTAGATAATCTGCAGATAAAAGAAAATGCTCTGGTAAGGGTTATTATTTTTAAATTACGTGTAATAACTCTGTTAGTTTGGCAGGCTCTTAGAAATGTTTGGTTACTAGGCATCTGTACCAGGTACCAGATAAAGTGACTGAGCCACACCAAGCTGGGTTCCTTATTTAACTATTTGCCATTGGAAGTTATGGATTAAAGATTTACAGTTTTCCTCCAATGATCAAAATAGTGCTTTTTATTTTTTGCAAAATGTAATTCTTTCCATGACTTAATTTGATTGTATAGCTTTTAGTATTTTTTCTTTTCCTTTTTTCTTTTTTCTTTCTTTCTTTTTCTCTTCCTTTCTTTTTCTCTTTCTTTCTTTCTTTCTTTCTTTTTTTTTTTTGTAAAATGGAGTTCTTTTTATGACCTAATTTGATTGTTATAGCTTTGCTATCTCCATTTGTCTTACAGAAATATTTTTCTTCAAATTATCCTTATACATTCTCCAGGCAAATTACGGCTTGGTGCTAACCAGTGATCTAGATGGTATGGAGGTACCGCAGTGATAAGCTAGCCTGGGAGTACTGAGATAATAGTAAGGTACTGACACCTTAGCTATAGTGAGGCATTTGCATCATTTGTTGTTGAGCTGAAAGCAAAGCAGCATTCACCCTCTCCACCCAATGGGTTTACCTTGTACAAAACTGAAATCTGATGTCACTTAAGAATGTGTATTGACCACATTTCAGATTTCCTGCATGTGTGCTTCCTGTGTGCATGCATACATGCTTTTTTTTTCGCTTTTGAGATAGGGTTTAATGTAGCCACATATTCACTATATAGCTAAGGCTCACCTTGAATTCTTGATTCTCCTGCCTCCATTTTTCAAATGCCAAGATTACAAACATGTGCTAGATTTTCTTATTTCTTAGTTTCAGTGTCTTATTATGCTTGAGCATTCATTCGGTAGCAGACCACGCCTTGGCTTTGTGGCCTGCCAAGATGAGAAAGAGAGCTGGCACACTGGAAAAACTCAGAATACTTAACTGTCCTTCCCTGAGTTTATGTGGCATGCCACCATTTATAACGTTTTATTTAAAAATTTAGAACTTAATGATTCTGTTGATAGGGGCTAGAATCAAGTTTTTCTTTTTCTCATTTTATGAGATTTTGTAGGAAATAAATATAAATACAACCGTGGGCACAGTACTCATTTACATTCCCAGAAGACAGATTGAGCTGTCAGCTATTTTTTTTCTGATTAAAATTAAAATAATAAGTTGCTTCATAATTCATAACTTTATTAGTTAAAATTAGACCCCTTTCATAATTTAACCAACTCAGTTTTGTTGATGGTTTTTCTTTATGGTTTTGTGGGTTGGCCCTTACGTCTTCTGTGTGCCAGGCAGGTGCTGACACACTGTGCTGTGTCCCTAGCCTGAAGTTTTACTTGGAAATGGGAACTTTATTCATTGTTAAAATTATTCCAAGTGTAAAAAAATATGAGCACAAGACAGCACTTATTAAGTGCCTCATGTTGAATATACCTTTCTAGACCCCTGGAAGTCAGAGTTACTGTTTTTTCTAATTCTTTTGTCAAAGGTACTGTGTTCAGTTCCTCTGAACCCAGGATGTTTGTGGAATTGTATGCTCATGAAAATGGATTCTTTGTTAGCTATAGCCTATAGTATTGTAGTTCAGTGTTCAGATATTCACAGCATTCCTATATATTAGGTATTAACTAGCAGAAAGTCTTATTAAAATCTAATAATTCTGAAGATTTGTCATCTTTATGAATGAGAATTATGGCTTAGCAACCAGGAGTCCAGATGAGGCTAAAATTAGTATTGTTTGGCATGTATAATTTATTTAAAAGAAATGATAGCTTGGTAGATAGTCGTTAGCGTCTTCCTTTCCAGGGGGTTTTGTTTACTCATTTGCTGAGTGTATTATCTGAGAGAATTATTAAGTAATTGTTTTTAGCTGACTTAAGTGCACGGATCCCGTTCTTTCCCACTTCTTGCATTTCAGGTAAACAGTGTCTATCTGTTTCATTTTAAAAAATAACCTGTTTATGCAATCACTTTCCTTATGAATGCCCTTCTATTGATAATTTTGCTTCTCTGTGACTTCTTTATGTAAAACCACTGTTTAAGGAAGCATTCATAGCCATGAGTTGCTCAACTGTATATCATTGATGTACAGAAGTGATTTGGGGGTTGCATAGAGAAGCCCTTTAATGTTTTTCTTTCTTCTGAAGAGTGAATTGGATGTTCCTTTCAAAGTCAAGGCTGGCCAAATCGGTAAGTACTTCACCCTTCATTGAATTACTTAGTCTGTTATAGTTTTTACTTTACCTGTACTGTTAAACTCGACAATTCATCTTTGCTTTACCAAAAGTGTGGGAAGTTTTTGGTTTAATTATTTTCAGAGTTTTAAACTAATGTATACCATATATAATACCTATGTACTTTTTAAAGGACAAAGGATTAGAAAGTTACTTTCTAAAACAGAAGGGCATTTTGAAATATGGTCATGACTTCCAGTCTTTGACTACTACACAAAACATCTTTATTTTCAAAGCTGATAACCCAATTTCCTGTATATTTTCTTTATATATGTGAAAGTCATACAATTCAAAAACTCTGTTAAATAGACTTTAAATGAAGTTCATTTCCCTCCTGTGTGTTCACTCATCATCACTTAATATATTATGCAGCAATGTGGTATGGAGGATGTGCTTTGGTAAGTACAAAGTCTCCTTTACAGCTAAATTCTCATCTGTCATCCATAACTCAGCAAATGTGTATGCTGAAGAAAATTTTCAATAGGAAATTTAATCTACAGAGTTCTCTCAAATAGTCCATGTGACCTGATTTTAACTTAAGGAAACAAAATTGTCTATCTGAATCTATCAGTTATCTGTCTACAATCTATTTACTATCTATCATCTATCCATCCATCTATCCATCCATCCATCCATCCATTCATCTGTTTATTATCTATCTATCTATCTATCTATCTATCTATCTATCTATCTATCTATCTACCTACCTACCTACCTACCTATCCATCCATCCATCCATCCATCCATCCATCCATCTATCTATCTATCTATCTATCATCTCTCTATCATCAATTTATCTCTCTACATGGGTTACTATTACTGTAGAATTTGACTTAATGACTCATTTGTCCACTCCTACCCTACTGCTAGATTCTATTATTCCCCTTCTTCAATCACTATTCTACCAAATTTTAGGGATTTATTCTTTGCTCTTTAAGCATCCTTTCTACCCTTTGATTGAAATAGATTTTTTTCTCATATAATATTTTCTGATTACCATTTTCCTTCCACTAATCTCAGTTCCTTCCCACCTCCCCTCCCATCGGGATCCAAAGTCTCTCATTAGAAAGCAAACAGTCTTCTAAAGGATAATAGTATAATAAATATAATATAATACAATATAATGAAACTTAACACATTGGAACCGGACAAAGCAAACAGAAGGAAAAGAGCCCGAGAAGGCACAAGCGTCAGGTGCCCACTCATGTGCGTGCTCAGGGATGCCATGTAAACACTCAACTGGAGTCCATACTGCATAGGTGCAGGACCTGGTACAGACCCTGGTGCGGGCCCTGTGCATCTTCCTAGTCTCTGTGAGTTCATAGGAGCTTTGATCATGTTGATTTAGAGGGTCTTGTTTTCCTGGGGTCTTTCATCTCCTCTGGCTCTTATACTTTTTCTGGCTTCATCTTTCTCAGGGTTCTTTGTGTCCTGACAGGAGGGATTTAACAGAAACATCTCGTTGAGATCTCTTATTCTTTGCATAATGTCTGACTGTGAGTCTTTATTTGTTTCTATCTACTGCAGGAGGAAGTTTTTTTGATGTTGGCTGAGCAAGGCACTGATCTATGAGTGTTTAGAATGTCATTAGGAGTCATTTTATCGCTTTATTTATTTATTTGGCTTTTTAAAAGACAGGGTAGCTTTGGAGCCTGTCCTGGAACTTGCTCTGTAGACCAGACTGGCCTCAAACTCACAGAGATCCACCTGCCTCTGCCTCTGCCTCCAGAGTGCTGAGATTAAAGGCATATGTCACCATCGCCCTATTGGTACATTTATTATTATTAATTTTTTAAAGTCAGTAGTATTTGGTTTTCCCTTAGGTCCCTGGGATATGTAGTCTCAGGTTCTTGTTCCTCCAAGCGGTATTGGGTATGACTTGCATCTTGTGGAGTGGGTCTTAAATCAAATAAGACATTGATTGGTTACTCCCACAAACTCTGTGCTACCATTGCCTTAGTGTATCTTGTAGACAAGACAGCATTGTAGATTTTAGGGTTTGTGGGTGTGTTTATGTTTATGTTTCTCCTTTGCTAGTATTCAGATATCTTCCTGTACCAACGATGCTAGAATGTAGGGTTGAAGACTCTATCTAGGGAACAACTCGGCTTCTTCATAGTCACTGAGTTGTGTAGTGATGTCTTTAGCGTGAGGTTTTGCCATCAGTCTGTGCAGAGCAACCTGTAGTCTTGGCACTAGCCTGGGTTGTTTGGGGTTTCGGGCCCCTTTAGCCAGCAATGAGACGGCCAGTTGGGGCTCTGTCTCCCCCATTATCTGACTATTTTATTTAGATCGCCTTCATATATGCATAAATTTTAGAAAGCTTCTACTGTAGTAGATTTCCATAATGCCAGTGATTCTGATCATATGACTTTACATCCACACATGAGTCAAATCAGATTCTTTTCTAATAAGTCTTGCTAGCGGCATTCGCCTAATGTCATTACTTTTTATAATTATAATGAAGGGGACTAGAGCGATGGCTCTGCAGTTGAGAGCACTGGCTGCTTGTGCAGAGGAACTGGATTCAGTCCTCAGAACCCACATCTCCTAACCCCAGTTATCGGGATGCAACACCCTCTTCTGGTCTCTCCAGACATTGGGCATGCATGTGGTACACATACATACATGCTGTCTGAGAAATCATTTGGATAAAATAATTAAATAAAAATTACATTGAAGGTAGATAATTGATACTTTATTTTTGGAACATGGAAGCCAACAGGGGTAGGAAAGGTTAGGACAGAATTGTAGTAATCATGACAGCTGGCCGGGACGTTAGCTGTCTGTGGCCTCGGAAAGAGGAGTTCTAGAGATATGGAAAAAATAGAGTTATGATAAGGTGCCCCTTTTTACTTGTTTTAAAATTCAGATCTCTTCTCTCTTCTGCCGTGCACTCCTCAAACAATACCAAATAAGTTACTGAGATTAGGACCATAGTTCTTCTATAAAGAGTGATAGTTTTTATGGGTTCATTTCTGCCTCTCTTTGACTTTGAACTGACTTTGAACTTGCTGTGTGGTGAGGCTGGCTTTGAACTCCCAATCCTCCCGCTCTCATCTCCCAACTGCTCACAGAGATTACAGGTATGCACCATCATGCTCCACCTAATACCATTGTTTTAAAGAGAGAAAGAGTGTTCTGCTTTGTCAGTATGTGTTTGTAAAGTAACAAATCTGAGTTGTATAGCATTAGCACCATAAAAGAAGTTAATGCTGATTGTGAAACAGCGCGCCTTGCCTCCAGATCTGGCCTCTTCCTTCCATAGCCGTCTGACCTGCTGCCCACATTCATAAAAGAGAGAAGGGATTTCTCTGCTGCTTTGGTTCCTGCTTGCAGACACTGTTTACAAGGGTTGTGTTGATGGCCACAGGTAGTATTTACAGTGGCCGTGTTGATGGCCAGGCAGTACTGTGTTGATTCAGTTGTTGGTGAGGCAGGAAGAGCGTGTGCAGTCTTCAGGTGTGTCCAGTGCAGAGCTCTGCCTCCAACGTCCTCACTGACGACCTTGCTGAACAAAAATGATTAATTTCACCCCTCTCAGACTGAGCTGCCTTTCCTATTCCAGATTGCTGTGATTACTATTTGATCTATCAAATGAAGTACTTGTCATAAAGTTTGGAAAGTATAAAATATGTACTTTAAATACCATCCTTCCCTTTTATCCCCAAATGACAAACATACTAAATGCCTAAAGAGTTTTGTCCTTTTCATGGGAAGTGAGAAATCTATTTGTATCCTCTTTAGCAGTCAAATAAGGATTTATGACGGAAATTATGTTTCTTTAGATAAATTAACTTTGAAGATTCCTTGGAAAAACCTTTATGGAGAAGCAGTTGTTGCCACCCTAGAAGGATTATACCTGCTTGTAGTCCCTGGAGCAAGTATGTTGTTTTACATGGTAATCATTCAGTGTCATTGCAATGAAGTGAAATTGTTCTCCTGTGAAGTAGTCTAATATAACGAGGAAGGTAGAACATCCGTTAGAAACTGATCACATAGTGTCATGAATAAGCATCCAATTGTATGCACACGTTTTGCTACATTTGTATACCAAATGTTTTTCTGTTGTTGCTGAAGACAGCAAACTGTCTATTTTAATTTTATTCCCCATGATTACTTACTTTAAGTTGTGATCCATTTGACAGATGTACTATTGAAGTAATTGTGTGAATTGAAGTAAGAAAATTAGAATGCACCAAAATATTTATTTACTTATTTCAAAACTGGAAACTTTTTCCATGTTTTGTTGCTTCCGATTTTAAACAGGTGTTCTTTCAAACATATATAGCAGGTTTTTTCTTCCTTAGGAATCACAATATTTTAATAATAATTACTATTTTGAAGCTTAATATCTTTAGTTAGTAGTGTTTTCAGCTAAAATGGACAATATGAGAAAAATTTGAATGCTTTGAGAAAAATTGCTCAGTTTCTCAACCATAGTATAGATACAGTGTTTACAATGTAGCTATAGTATTTATTTTTGCACCTTGCTTGGTTCGCTGTTGACAGTACTAGAGTCCTTACTTAGTAGTTACCACATTAAGCACATAGCATTGGCTTGACGTTTTCATGCTTTTTGTGTCTCATGATTTTCAAGGTGATACTGAAAATTTTGAAAAGTAGTGAATATTAGCTGTCTTTTGCTATTATGAAATACTATGATTAGTTCCCTTTTTGTCTCTTATAATTTTTTTTTAGTTCATCATACAGATAATGCCTCTCATCATGGCAGCTTCATATATGTGCTACTATGTTTCATTCAAAATCTTCTTCTTATAGTTTTTTTTTAACTTTTGATTTTCTTAGACTATTGTTATCAGATATGAGATGACAGATCAAATGATGTGTTAGTATTATGATTTTTTACTTTTTTATTTTTTTATTTTCAAGATAGGATTTCTTTGTGTAGCTTTGGTACCTGTCCTGGAACTAGCTCTTGTAGACTAGGCTGGCCTCAACTCACAGAGATCTGCCTGCCTCTGCCTCCCAAGTGCTGGGATTAAAGGCGTTCTCCACCACTGCCCAGCATGTGTTAGGATTATTAAATATTCCTCAGATGCTTTGTGAAAACATTTTTGTCAATCTGTATAGACACCAGATGATAAGTGTTTGTTTGTTTGTTTGTTTGTTTTTGAGGCAGGATCTTTTTGTGTAGCACTGGCTGTCCTGGAACTCTGTAGACCAGGCTTGGCCTCAAACTCAGAGATCTTTTGTTTCTGCCTCTGGAGTGCTAGATTAAAAGCATGAGCCACCATCACACCTAGCTTTTCTCCCACCCTCCCTCCCTCCCTCCTCCCTCCCTCTTTTCGTCTGTCTCTCTGTCTCTCTCTGTCTCTCTTTGTATTTGTGTGTGCCTGTGTGAGTTTCAGCTCACCACATGTGTGCAGGTGCTCCTGAAGGCCAGAAGAGTGTGTCAGCTGCCTGATGTGGGTGCTAGGAACCGAACTTGTGTCCTCTGCGAGAGCAGCAAATGCTCTGAACCACGGCACCATTATATCCAGCACTCTTACTTATTTTTATAGATAATAAATTTTTTACCACTCAATCAGTGAATATTCTGATAATATTTTTGTGTCTCCTGCTTTTTTAAGTGATCTAACCAGCCTTTTCTGTTTTTTTTTGTTTTTAGCTACCTACTGCTTTCTAATTTCTTTCCTTTTTTCCTTTGTGATGCTTTATAAAGAAATAGGAATCATCTATGTGTAAATGATTTTTATATAATTGTAATGTAATTTTTATGTAAAATGTAAATTCTTATATGGTTAATCTTTACAGAAGTGTTTTTAGGCTTATAAAAATAGTGTTAACTTATGATTATGATGAGGTTGAAGTTTTCCATTTGTGTACTGATTTCATTTTTTTTTTGTGAGAATTAATTATATGTTTTTAGGTATTAAGTATGATGCAGAGAAAGAAGAAAAATCCTTGCAGGATATTAAGCAGAAGGAACTTACCAGAATCGAAGAAGCCCTTCAAAAAGCAGCAGAGAAAGGTAGAATATGTTTATTTTAAATACCTAGACATACCTGTATTTCAGACATATTTCCTATCATTTCATGCCTTCTTTTTTTCCTGTGTTTTTCATTTTTTTTCAAGACAGAGTTTCTCTGTGTAGCCCTGGCTGGCACTCACTCTGTAGATCAGGCTGGCCTTGAACTCACAGAGATCCACCTGTCTCTGCCTGCTCAGTGCTGGGATTAAAGGTGTGCACCACCACCATTCTGCTCTCATACAGACGTTTTAAAGCCCAGTTTTAAAGAATCTTCTTTTCAAATCTTAAAATACTGTTTATAAATATTTTATTGACCAACATTGAAGATCGATTGCTTTTGCCTGGTGACAGCTGTGTTTTGAGAACACTGAGATATGTGTGCTTTATGTGCTGCATTCATCTTAGCCTGTGTTTTTGTGCGATGGCCAGGGTAAGCTGTCACAGTGCAGATGTGGCGAGGCACTGCTGCTGTGACCCTATTTCCCCATCTCTTCATAAGATAAACGATTTTCAAAACAAGTCTTTTCTTCAGGTTTCAACATTTGAACACCCTCAAAAATTTGTTTTTATAAAAGAGAAGTTTGATAATTACATTATATTTTGATTTTGACTCTGATTTCTAGCACCAGAGCGAGTGAAAGGAGAAGCGTTGTTAGTCCGTAGTGTGATGACTGAAGGGCTCTCCAGAGTCCAGTGTGTCTGCCTCTTTAAAGTCAGACCATGTCCCTATCTGACTGAGGTATGACTCAGTGTCTCACAGCGGTTTTCAGTCATTTGCTGACTGTGTATGTGTGGGTTGCAGTGATGAGGACTTATAGTCTCTGATAACATAAGGCCAATGTTTTTGAATTTTTATTGTTCACTGTGTATGAAATTTCTTTTTTTTGTGAACAAAACAGAACAAGACAAGGCAAATTTTAACCTAAAAATCGCCCGAATTACAGTTCCACACAAGGGAGGGCTCTTTCTGTGGTCCTGGTAACATGAATCAGTGAGAAGTCTTTTTAGAAATGACTTCTTGAGCTGAATGTGGACTCTGACTCTGGCTTCTCTGGAGGTTAATGTGGGAGACCATGTGGCCCAGTAGTGTGGGCTAGCCTGGGCAACATAGGAGACCCTCCTTGAATATTCATAACAATATCTGCTCCTGGAGGTTCCTGATCACTGACCCTCATCCCTTTTTGTCTGAAGTATGTTTTTCTTATGCAGAAATGTTGATTCTTTACGAGAAGTTACTAATGCCAGCTATAATACAGAGCCCTACTGTATTCGAAGAAAATGTTTCCTTTTTCTCATTTCTGCTTTAGAGTGTCATCTTCCCATTGAAACTTCAGTACCTGCATCTTTAGGAAGTTTTCTGTATTTGTGCTGCTTCTTTTTTCAAAATAAAGCATGCTGAGGTTTTCTGAGGGAAGCCCAGTAGGATTTTTAATAAACAGTTTTGTTTCATTAGAGTATGTAGAAATAGTTCAGTAAAAATGAGGTGTGATACTTGGAGAGCACTAGAATTTTATTTCTTTCTATAGAATTTCCAGAGTAAATATATTTTCTTAATTCACATGCACATGCACACTGCCCTACGTCTGTATGCGTATGCACACATACGTGTGTACATACATACACACATATAAGGTATAATGGCATATTTAGGCATACTGGTACATAATTATATATTTATAGTCACATATGTAATTAATAAGTTACCTTTTATGAAATCTCCAATGTCCTTTTTTGGCAGGACTATTGTAACTGCTTAAAAAGTACTTTAGTATTTCCAGTACTCTGTAAGAAAGATGTGAACTGACCTGTTTTAGTAGTTGATGGTTTAATTGGCACACTGATAACATCCTATACATTCTGTCCTTTGACTGTAGGTATTTAGGGCTTATCTCTGAGCTAATATGCTTGGTTCTGGTGGAGAATCATGGTTCTGTATAGAAGGTGAACACATGTGGAACTGGTCCTGCACGAGTAGGTCCATTAGGTCTGTCTGTCTGTCTGTAATGCAAGCATGGCAGCATCTTGGGTGATAAATTTTGGGATTTGTTAGAATGTATTTAAAATTCAGAAAATAGGTCCTAGAGAGATGGCTCAGGGGTAAAGGCTCTTGCCACCAAGCCTGACAAGCTGGGTTTGATTCCCCAGATCCACATGGTGGAAGCAGAGAACTTGCTCCTGCAAGTTGTTCTCTGATTTCTGCATGTGCACTTGTTCACACATACACATATGTAATAAAATATAATGTGAAACAATAAAATTCAGAAAGTGAAATTCAGTTTTCTAGTTCGGTTTTAATGTATAAGTTCTGAATGTAAAATAGTTGAATTTGTAATTGAGAAATATGTTGAGAGATTATTTCCTGTAACTGAAGGAATCTGTTTAATCGTTTTGACTGTGTTGTAAATATTCTGTCCTCGTTTCCCTGGATAGGCATCATCTTCTTAGGATGCTTCTCACGTGAATGATAACTACATCCTTTAAATGCTTCACATCTTACCGTAGTGATGAGTTACTTAGTTATCACGTTTTCTTCAGTCTTATCTTCCCGCTCCTCCTGGATTTTGTTGCCTGTGCAGCGACTTGGGGAGATGAGGAGAGGGGGTGCTCAGGCCTGCATGGGCAGATAATAAGAGCAAAGGTAGAACCTTCATGCTGACCCACTCTGAAACGTGTAACCTCTTAAAATACTGCTACCATGGTTTGGAATAAAAACTGAAGTTTTTATTTTAATTTTAGAGAATTTACTTAGCTGTAAAAATAACCTTTTTCTCCTTCCCAGTCTCTGGAGTGGCTTTCTGTACTTGGGAAGGCGATCATACACAGCTTCCCATATGTTAACTTCCATATATAAAATGTTATTTTTGCAAGATAATACACACACACACACACACACACATACACACACACACACACACACACACACACACACACACCCTTAAGCTAGAATAACTTCCCTCCAAGAAATCTTCAGCCTCCCAAATATACCAACAACATAACAATAAATAGTCAAAATGTAATATTAAGGAGGTTCAGAAGTAGGATTTCGAAGGCTCCGTCTGCTACCTGCTGGGTAATTTTGTGCCACTTTGCTCTCTTGTTGGAAATGGACCTCTGATGTCAAGCAGTTCATTTCAAATGGACAAATAAGACATTTTTTAAATGACAAGCAGGAGAAAGCATTAAGTCCTATCAAAGAGGCCCAGGTAGAGTATGGAGAGTTCAGAATGAGGTGACAGTGTGAAGCTGTGTGCTTTAGTGGGTTCTGTGAGTGTACAAGAGAGAGAAAGAACACTACCGATGGGGAGACGGGGTAGAAAAGTACAGAGCATGGTGGTGAATGGCTTTAGGGTTTGAGAGATCATAATTGTATATAAGGTTGGGAAACTAAGTTGAGATCAATTTTAAGAGATTTGAATGACAGGGTGATGACAAAGATGGCAACAACAACAACAGCAAGAAGTCATTTATTGAGTATCTATTATTTACCAGACACTCATCAAAGTCCTGTCTGTGAACAAACTCACTTCATAGTTACCCAGTGCAAAAGTGAACTTTAGCCTCTAGCCAGTGGAGGAGTAGGGAGTTCAGAAGTTTTCCTCTCTCTAAAAGCCTGAAGCTGCAGTCCGGACTATGCTTCATTTGGGAGGGGAATGTGAGAGGGTGCTGTCTAGCTGGCCGTTATTGACTCCAGTGGGTAAAGGGTGCAGGCAGCCTATCTGAAAGGGACACATCACACTAAAGTATGATGGGATTTTCTCACCTGACTTTAAAATGAATGGATGCTATCCAATGAAAATGGATGAAATGACAGGCAGGAAAAGAATCCAGAGAGCATTTGTGTTGTGTTTGAAAATGAAAATTACAGTAAGACCTGAGCTGTCATTGCTATTTACCTGCTTTGATTTACTTGATTATTATGGTTTTCATGATGTAGAATTTTTGTTTTAACCTGAAAATAAGGTTTGTATGTTGAAAGAATGGGCCTGATGTCACTGGGGATGTCTCCTTCGGAGCAGGTGGCTTTCCTGTGACACGCTGGCTCTTCGCTTGTCCTGTCATGCGGTTTCTGAGTCTTTGCAGCTAAGTTTAGGTGCATTTCCCATGCAAAACTAAAGGTGTCTTATAATGCTTTGCATTTCGGTTACTGCTGCCATGGGATGCAGGCGCACACGCAGGGGAGTTCATGTATGGCTTGGAAAACTTGCTTTACAAGGACGTCAAGCCTGGTGGGTATGCATGGTTATTTATACTTCATGAAATCGATGTTCTTATCCATGCCTGAGCTTTTAGTGGAGTCCATTCGATGGTGCGCCATTCTTTGAGAAATATGGAAATGTAATTCATGTTCACACCCTCATCATCCCTTCCTTTCCCCTCCCCTCTGCAGCCATTCACTCATTCACTGAGTCTTTGAGTGTCCTCTGGCAAACTCCATGCTGGGAGCCTGGTGTTCGTGGGTGAGCGAGCATAGTTCACTGCCCCTGCGGTGCGAGCTCTCCTATCTGCAGATGATGGTGGAATTTGCACTGCCCTTTGGCCTTCGTGTTCTAGGACAGTGGTAGAGCTTTCCTCCTGACTGCTCTCTCTTGCTCTGAGTGGGGATTTTCAAATTTGCAAGAAGCAGTAAGATGGAATTATTTATTTATTGTAGTACTTTGTTCATTGCCTCAAGGCGGGACTTTCTGATTGTGTAATCTTCTGTAGTCTGCTGTCCCTTACAGTGTATTAAAACCTGAAGCTTCACAAAGGCAAACTGATGACTGTTTACTGTAGGATTTGGAAGGGAACCTTTTGTACACTAGGACTTGTACCAGATATATAGCAATGATTTTTGATATTTTGAATAAAATGTTACTCTTCAGGAGTTTTTTATGTTAATTTAATCACATTTTAGATTTGCTTTGACTAAATGGTAAGTGGATCTGCATCTGAAAATTTAATTTTAAAGTTTAATTAGATTTTAATTTTAAAGTGTTATGTTAGAATTCTTATGCAGATAGAAGCTTCTGTAGTATGTATGTTCATTTTGACAGTGGAGAGAATTTGCATGGTAGATTCACAGCATTGAGTGAAATTATCCTGAAATTATTTCTCTTTTTACAAGTCTACCACGGTGGTAACCTTGGCTGGCTGCTGGTTTGTTACTTGGCCCAGCACAGAGGACAACATGGGCGGGTAATCCTGGGCTCACTGTGCAGTTGTACAGGCTGTGCCGAGTCGGCTCTCTGTCGTCACTGGTGCCGGATTTTCTGGTCTTTCTAGGAAGACTCTGCCTGGAAGCTATAAATGAATGTCTGTGACCCATTCTAATACGTTCCACACTGGGTCTTGTTAAAAGCCAGCAGAAGTCACAATGCAGGAAGCCTTAATTGCTTCATCTTTCTCCTTGGATAAAGTGAGGGTCGTGTGCAGTGAGAAGGTTCCTTTGATGAGGGCTTCATTCCCTTAGCTGGGAGCGAATGTGTACTTTATGACCATTTCCTCTTTCAGTTTCCAAGTGCATATTCTCCCCTTATTTCCCGGCATTTTTTTTTTTTTACACTTAAGAGAAGCGATTCTCAGAAAATCAGAGCTAGCTATTTTCATAATGATATCAAAGCATTTAATTTTTCATGGAGTTGACATTTGTGTGCAGGAATGCAAGCAGTGCTTGTAACTCAGCGGTTGTCATGGCCCGATTCAAGGCGGGACACCTCACTGTATCACTAGTCATTGTGTTCTTTGCTACTGTGCACTCATTACAAAAGCAAGAGGAAGTGTGCCAGGATAGCTTAAAGTCTTTTTTTGATAAAATTGAACTTTAAGTTTAATAGACATCAGTTCTTGAGCAGGCCTCTAAAGTTTCGTGGGACACCAGAGAAAGCGTGTAGGAAACATTTCTGAATGCTGAGGTGGGTTGTTTGCAGGGGTGATTGCTTGTGCAGATGTGGGAGTTGTTAGCTGAAGTTGCTTCTTATGGACAAAAGCTATTCTTTTTTTTTTATTTGAAAGATTGACAGATTGTCATCATTCAAGTTTGAGTGTGTAGCCACGTCACAAAAGTGAACTGGCATATTTGAGTGGTAGCACATTGTGCTTTTAAGGAAAAATTAGAATTTTAAGAACCCCTCATTTGCCACCTCGAGCTTAACAGCCACCCTGGATGGACAGACTTTCCCACGAGACTGGGGGTGGTTCCAGCAAATGTGCCTCTTGTGTTAGACAGTGACGAGGCTGAGCCTGAGGGCCTGGCCCAGCTCATTGCAGCATGATTTCCATATAACGAGTGGGCAGTGAGCCACGGATGTGTGGAAGGCCCACGTGATTGTGAGGTGGCCCACTGATTGTAATTCGCCTGATTATAAAACTAACTGAGAAACTCCACTTACTGAACTTGGGTGCATTCCCTATAATTATACAAAGACCATGAAAACATTCTTTACTTTTCCTGTTGCATATCTGCTTTGAAATCATATTTTCAGCATGTACTTCAGTCAGAACAGTGTATTTCAGTAGATTGAAGGCAGAAGCAGATATGTGAATCCAGCCATCTTCTACTAAATTAAGGGGATTCGTAAAAATGAGAAATCATGTGATTCTTTTCACTGTGACTTTAAATTGTATGTATATATGTCTGTGTGTATGATATGTATATACTAGTGCATAATTATAAGTATTTAAGTGATGATTTAATATTATTTTGAATTAAGAAAATAGTTTATATTTTTATTTCCAGCATGATATATATGAATAATTCCAGCCTATGATACTTAAAATCTCTTCAGATTGCTTATGTTTTATGTGAATTAAAGGCTTCTGAGACCAAAGTTTTGAGAACTGTTATAGAGTATTGATAATCTTAAATTTATTCTTCATTATATTAATTAGGAACTTTCATCACTATGTAGCACTCTTGTAGATTTAGAATGCGTTCAGGAGAACTGACATTAAAGACAGAACAGGGAGTAGACCAGTTTCGAAGCTAGAGAGATAACAGCTTGGTCTGGAGACTCCAGCGAGTGAAATGGCTTCTGAACAGCACTGACTTTCTGGTTATTTTACACGTGGTGTTACTTGAGGACTCAGTCGTTCTGCATATTTGGTTTGTGGAGTGGAACCAGGAACTGTGACTGTGTTAGAAAATGTTGGTGTCTGTGCTATCCAGCTTCTGTTATGTGTGTAAGCGTTTTCTTCTAGAAACGTGAGTTTATTTTTGTAATCCGAGTTCACTTTTTAATTTTAAGGTGAAACAGTTTGCAAATATCAACAAAACAAAATAGAGTTTGCATTTATATACAAATATATTTCTCTTATTTATGTATTTTGTTATAATGTCTACGTGTGGATGTTTTAATTCATTTGAACAGACAAGTATTATGTACTTTTTGCTTGGGTATGACTCTCTGTCCTTGGAAATCTCCTGCTGGATAGGAACCTCTTGCTCACTGGCAAGAGAATCAGGCAAAACTGCAGATATAATGCCTGTGCTGTGTATTAGACTTTTGTGTGAGGACAGGCCCTGAGCTGCTCTGAGGAGCTCTGACAAGCTTCACACAGGCAGTGAGTCACATGGCAGGAGTGTTGAACACAAGATAGTGACAATGAAAAGTTTGCTCAGTAACGAGTTTGAGGATGGCAGCCCATTTACGGAATGATGTGTAGGGAGACAGAAGGCATTGGCATTATTATGTGTGTTTCATAATTACAGTTAGCATTTCTGCAGTTTCCCATGATGGATGACTGGCAGGAGTAACAGGGATCAGGCCTGTGTCATGCAGGCACATTTGATTTTATTTGGCAGGCTGCAGAGAGCCTTTAAATGATTTTGAACAGGGATTGATGGGCTCAACTAGTATTTTAGATGTAGTAGCAATGCAGAAGGTCCTTTAGCAGAAAGTAAGGATGGGAGCAGGAACATGTCCGGGGAGTTTAGGTCACAGCTAATGCCTGGCTGTCCGTTGAGTAGAACGTTCACAGACTGGGTAAGAAAGGTGTTGGTTAATGTGAAAATGTCAAATAAAAAAGGATGCAGTTTAAAGAAATGGCTACTAGTTGAATATACTGTTAGTATACATTTTATGCCCCGTGCCCTCATACTTTTATGAGCTATAAAGCATGCCTAATGCACAGTTCTGTTTGTGAAGGGTGTCATCTAGAGAGGCCATCAGCACTCAACCCATCCATCCCATTTGTATTCCTCTGTCCCTGCCACGCATTGCTCAAAACCTTTCCCTGATGCTTTTAGATCATCATCATTACATTTCCAGTATTTTGGTAACATTGAATTTAAAGTAACACTGTAAATGAGTAGCTGTAAACATTAAAACACCATTGTGAATGGATACATTTTATCCATATTTTGTATAATTGTTCCTGCCAAGTTATTCTCTAGATTTAAGGTTGTTCTTTACTGCAGAGTGTTTATCTAGTAAAGGAAGCTTGTGAGTTTATGTTTGTGTTGAAGTAGTAAGTCAGCCAGTGTAGACGGAGGTAAGTGACGCTGAGCTTTGATGTCAGGAAGAATTCTCTTATTTTCTTTTCTGTCCTCTTGTCTGCTAACTTGACTTTTATCCTTTTCTCACTAAAATGCTTCCACTGAGAAGGACGTAAGCGTAAAAAGCACAAAAAACATTTTAAGAAACGTTTTAAAGGTCTTGATCGCTCCAAAGGTAGGTACATGCAGTTCTCCCTGTGCTGTTTGTACACCTTGATTTTTGTCTTGGAAGGTAAAATGAACAGTAAAGTGCAGCTTAAATATAAACCCGAATTTTAAGTTGAAACTGTCTGTCAGACTCTAAAATAGACCTAAGAAAGGGCCCTAGAATACCTTGTAATTTCTATTACGTAGTGGCATTCGCGCTCCTTGGCCGTCGGTTCTGAGGTGTGTGAGAACTGCGAGTCTTGAGCTCTTGTTTTTCTGTTTCCATAGATAAGCCCAAAGAAGCAAAAAAAGATACATTTTTGGAAAAATTGGCAACTCAAGTAATAAAAAATGTTCAAGTGAAAATCACAGACATTCACATTAAATATGAAGATGACGTAAGTAATTTCAGTATTTTAAGTTGGTCGTTAAATGTGTTTTATGATATTCTATATCTTATGATATTTTGTCTGCAGATTATTTGAACCTAATTTAAATTTCAGATTGCCACTCCTGTAAATATGCCAGTGTTTGACCTTTTCTAAGAGGCTGTGTTAGCTGGGCTATACATAAATAAATATAGTGTAAAACCACTCCATATAAAACCATGTAACTGTTCTTTATGGTTTATTTGTTGTACATGTTATGGTGTAACTTTAAGGAATGAATTTCATGTTTATATTGTCAAAACATTGGTGATGGAGTGACGTTTGGTAATGACACCAGCAGTCAAAGTAGTTACAGCTTCCTATCTGTCCCTGGAGTGGTCCTGAGCTGCTCGCGAGCACCCACAGTGGCCTTGAAGCCTGTCTTGATGCAAGTCAGCTTAGATTCTCTTGCTAATTTGCCGTAAGATCTGACTAGATTGGAAGCATTCTGTTAGACAGGGTTTTAGTTCCCTTTCCTGGGTTCTCTGTGTACACTATTCAATAAGACGTATTTGTAGATTGAGAAAAGCAAAATAAAACACAGAACTCTGTTCCTCACGTCATCTTTTGGCTTTCTGGAGGAATTAAAGTGGACTTTGATAACAAATGTTCTTGGTTAGAATAAATCGGAAAGCGTTGTGCTCTGTGTATCATGGGAGTGAAAGAGTTCTTGTTAAAGCCGGGTAGAGAAATGGGGCATTGCTATACTATGGGTGCAATTGCTACAACTAGTTTGAGTGCTTTCCCCCAAAATCTAAAATTAAGAATACAATAAGATTCACAACCCATTTCTGGATATATGACCAAATAAATTGAATTGAAACATCTTGAAGAGACATCCACAGCGTAGTTCACAATAATCGAGATACAGGAGCAGCTGAAATGCAGTAGGCAGATGAACAGATAGCAACAATACTGTATATTTCCACAGTGAGGTACTTTTTGGCCTGAAAACAGGCAGTTCTGCCATCCCCATCAACATGATTGGAGCTGGTGATTGTAAAAAATTGAAATAAACTAGTTACACAGAAAAATACTGCATGATCTCACACAGATAGCCAACTCTATATATCTATATCTGGTATCTAAAACATCAAATGCATAGTTGACTGATGGTTGTGAAAAACAGGAAATGATCAGTGTGTGAGGTGAATCACCCAGGTTCCAGTCCTCCACAGCAAACCCAGTTATGGAAACATTGCATTTCACTCTGTATATCCTAGTGACATCCTATTGAATGAGAACCTCAGTTTGAATCTATCTAAGCTTCTCACCACTGAAAATACAATTAGGAAGTCATGTGACTTCTTTTTATTTAATACGAAATGTACAGAGATCCATAGGAGTCCCCTCAGTCATATCTAGACTGGTATCTGTGGCATATTTACCTGTGACAACATGTAGTACAATAACCTAAAAGGAAGAAAGTTTAAATGTGTGAACAGTTCTTATATCACATGTCTTTCAGTCTGGTTGCCTTAATTATTTTATCTAGAAGCATATCAGAAGTATGGGATGTAAGAAATGGACCTTGGGGAATTATGGTCTTTTAGCACTGTAGCGTTGGGCTGTATCAGAGGCCCGTCTGAAATAGCTGGAAGTTATTTGAAGTAGTTATCAAAAGATGACTAAATCATTTCCCTCTTCCCATCTCCCTTCTCACACACACACACACACACACACACACACACACACACACACACACACACACTTTTTTCTGAGACAAGATCTCATGTAGCCCAAGCTGTCATTAAACATTATATATAACAGCATGACTGCTTGCCTCTAGCTACTGAGTACAGAGATTAAAAGTGTGTACTACCATGCACAGCTCCTTATATACTTATATAAATTAAATATTTATGTGTATTAATTGCAAATAAAATCCATGAAGCTGTTTGTGCTTTCCAGCTACCCCAGAGCATGCACATGTACTTCCTGTTTGAGAAGGATCCATGTGACAAGACTGGAGTTCCATTTGGATGGCTTAGAACAACACTTCCTTTTCTAGTGGTTCATACCTCCATCACAAGCAAACAATTGTCTGTGGCTTCTGAACCTCTTACGGCAGTCTCAGGCAATGACATCATGTATGTCATGGCACAGGCTAAACACTGTCTATATCACATATCAAAGTTCAGAGATAAAAAAGCAGTTTGTCATTGGGAGATTTGAGGTAATAGACTTGGGAAATTACGTACTAAGATTCTGAAGCCGGATTGAGACAGGAGGATTGAAAGTTTAAGGCCAGGCGAGATCCTCTAGCAAGAAAAACAACCCCAGCAAAACCCCAAACCTAAGATTTTCCCTTTCCAGGCAGTTTTGAAGCTTCAAGGCAAGTAAAAGACTATAAAATTGGTTCAAGTTTCCAAAGATGAAAATCCGAGGTGTTGGAGTAGTCATTTAGTGGTAAAATCATTGTCTGTAATGCCTCCTTGTACCTGCCTGTGAAGAACATTCTGTGAGTCTACCCGTCACAGTTAGAGAGCTTCTTAGTTGTCGGAAATCAGGGTTCTGGGAAAATACCGAGTTAGTGGCATTGGCTTTGTCATGATACTCCTATGGACACATGACTGTATCAGGGCCTCCTCTCCCTCCTTTGAAAGTCCCTTGGGCTGTGTGACTTCCTCCAAGACACTATTTATAATTTTTATTATTAACTTAGCATTTTATTTTTAACTTAAATTTTTATTTTCTGAGAATTGCATATACAAATACTATATTTACATAATCTCCACCCCTCCCTCCCAACTCCTTCTGTGTTCCCCTTACTTTCTTTCAAATTAACAACCTCTTCTTTTTAAATTCTTATTTTTAGTTACACAAAACCACAAACTATCCCTGAATTCATTTGGTATTATTTGTATGTACCTGTGTTCTGGGCCAACCACATTTCGGGGAGATGCTGTCTGTTTTAAAGGTCCTACCACCTCATATTTTAATGTCCCCTTTCTTCCTCTGTAGGTCACTGATCCAGAAAGGCCGCTTTCATTTGGTGTCACATTGGGAGAATTTAGTCTGTTGGTAATGTTGGCTTATTAAAAGTTTCTGTGGGATCTGTAAAGTATTAATAAAGTAATTAAGTATTAGTAAAGTTTAATGAAATAAACTGCATTGCCTAAGGTACATTGTTGCCTCAAATAGCTTTTGCGTTTCTGAAGAATTCTCTTGCTGCACATTTGCTACAAGTTCCCCATTTTCAGTGATGCTTTCATATTTAGTAATTACTTTGATTTCCTTAATGCTTCCACATAACAAGTGTTAAATCATTTAGAAGAAATGAATATTGCACCTTACACACGTGGGGAGGGGACAGATGACTGTGTAGTGTTCTGAACTCATACTTGGTATTATTTTGTAGGATCCCCAAAAAGTAGACAAAATGTGTGTGTGTGTGTGTGTGTGTGAGAGAGAGAGAGAGAGACAGACAGACAGACAGACAGACAGACAGTGGAATGTGTTGTTATTCATTTTGATTAAATACTTCATAATACATTCAGATTATTTTCTGTTTAATCTCTTAAATGTAAGAAGGTATGCATATCCTCAAAGTGGATCTTTTACTGTTCTAAGTAACTTAATGATAAGAAACATGGTTGGGGACATGAAGTAGCTTTTGATAAAACAGAATCTTCTGTAAGACCAGAATCTGAGTTCTTAAGGGTCAAGAGAGCATTGATTCAGAAAACTTAGCCTAATTGTGTGTTCACAAACAGCGTCCAACTTAACTTTGAACATCTGACAAGACATAAGTACTAGCAGACTCCTCCGCCTGGTCTGCAAGGGCATGCTACTGCAGATGGTCTCCTCATTATGTGCTGTTGGGAGTCCCGCGTCTGTGCTCAGAGTCTGTGCACAGGTTTTATTTGTCCGCTTCACTGTTCCTTTTGCCAGCCTGGTAATTCTGCTCAGGTTTCAGAACCCACACAAGAGAGTATCCTACCTTTGCTGTTTGTTTTTCCTTCCTTCTTGGAGCTCTTCAGCCCCTCCTATGCTCCCTGTTCTGCTGTGTCCCCAGGAATCTTCATTTCTTCTGCTTTCTGTTATTCTCTTCTAGAGCAACTTTCTTTTCTCTTTCCTTACATCTTTTCATAAGCAGTCAAATACTTTTTTCTTTTCTTTTTTTTTTTTTGAGACAGTCCCACTTTGTAGCTCTGGCTGACTTGGAACTCACTAGGTAGACCAGGCTGGCCTTGAATTCATAAAGGTCCTCCCGCCTCTGCCTCCTGAGTGCTGGGATTAAAGGTGTGTGCTGTCATGCCAGTCTTCAACATTCTTGTCTCTTCCTCACAAGTAAGATTAAATAGGGACTGCTTAACTTTCCATTCCCAACCAGACTCTCTAACCACCTCCTTTTCCCTGCCGTCTTTCCAGCCAGGCTTGTTGAGAACTGTCTGCTCTCTGTGTCTGACTCCCACTCAGTGCCTCCTGACGCTTCTGCTTGTGAAATCGGTCTTAAGTAGTCATCAGTAATGCCCGCCTGGTGGGTGCTGTCAACCGTGCTGAAAACAGGCTTGCGCTGCAGCCTTCTTCACAGGGCACACACCAGCCTTTTTTCATGTTTATGACTTCAGACATATAGTAACCCAATAATAATTTTCTAAATAGAGGAGCCTAGTTGAATTGGAATTTCTTCAATTTTAATTTTCATTGCTTCTTTGATTTTGTCTTATAAACATATAGATAAACAGCTAGCATTATCCAATATTACTTGTAAAGTAACTTAAATTTTTAAAAAATAATGTTTATTTTGTAAATTGGTGTGTGTGTGCGTGGGGGGAGCATGTGTGCACCGTAACATGCATGTGGGAGTCAGAGGACAACTCGTATGTGTCTGTTGTCCCCTTCTATCATGTGGGGCCTGGTGTTGAGTTCAAGTTGTTAGGCTTGGTGACCAGTGCTTTTACCCACTGAGCCATCTGGCTGGCCACTTTTTTTTTTTCTAAATTACTCGGTTATTGCTTACAGATACTAGACTGTTGGATGACATGTACTGTTTCATAAGAGTTGACCTTCTTTTCTTTTTAGACGACAAATGAACACTGGACTCCGTGCATTTTAAATGAAGCAGAAAAAATTATATATAAGGTATTATATTTTTCATATATAAGGTTTTAGAATTTTTTACTGGGGATGAATTTTTGCACTCATGAAGATAAGATCTTTAAGTGCTGGAATATCTGTTCAGCCAGATGGTAGGGTGGAGCAGCGACGTTGGAGCCCAGCTACTGGGGCCAACTTGGAGAGGTGTCTGCTTTGACCTTGTCCTCAAAGTGTCATCAGTCATTTTAATGCAAACTCTGCAGAGTGTCATTAATTACATTTTAAGGATCGATTGAAAGTAACACACCTACACCCTTGGAAACTTCAGGAGAGGATGGGAGGAAGCGCAAGCAGCACATTTGGTGTATAGTAAATGACCCAATTCTTGGTAACTGCTTTGGGCCATATAAAACATAGAGGAAACCTTTGTATTTATGATAAAAGTAGCAAGTGGCATGCCAGGCAATATTGTGTATGCAATCTCGGGCATCCCGAACAGTGCCTCTCAGTGTGCTCAGGTAGTCTACATATGTTTAACCTTCTTAAGACTTCCAATTTATGGGATTATTGTTGTTTCATTCTAAGTTTTAGCCAATCAGGAATCTGGGTAATCTATATATAAGCACTCTTGAATTTAAAAGAGTAGATATTATGTTTTAAATTGTCTGTCATAGTCAATTTGTTAAATAACATATTTCTGGATTCTAAAATAGTACTTGTTACCTTTGACAGAATTAGGTATTTCGTACCGATTGAGTGTTTAACAGTCTACCTCCTAAAGCAGAAACATAAAACGTGTTGAGTGTCAGAGGGTTGATGTATTCCTTGGCAAAGTTAAGGTCATTAGAGAAAATTGTGTTTAATCGGAGTGACTAAGTGAGGCCTAGATGCCTTGGATCTTTATAGTTTGTTAATGAAGGTGAGTCAGGGGTGGGAAAGTCCACGGTCTGGTTTGGATGAAGCTTTTACTGCATGACTTGCTGTGCTCACTTTTCTACCCTGAAGTTTAGGTTCTTCATCCCTCAAGTGAAGGGTCTGGACACAAACAACATCCCCAAATGGTATTTTATGAAAGACTAGGTAATTGAGGTGTTAGATGTAGAAAGAATAATTTGTGGTCAGGCAAGAGAACTGGTTAAGTGCTATCCTGTGCATAGCTGAGCATATGTGTGTTCTGTGTTTAACACAGGACTTCTCAGTGCTTGACATGGCCCCCAAGCATGGTGGTTCCCCAGGAGTGTTATCAGCCAGTCTGGAGCCTTCCCTGCCTTCTGACCACAGGCTCCTTTCCCACAGTCCTCCCCAGGACAGCCATTGATAACTGCAGGAGGGAGCTTGTGTTTTCTTATCTAGCAAAACAATCTGCTAGATGCTCAGGTCTCACTATTTGGTAACTGAATGACTGAATCTCCTGAAAATGTGTTCCCAGAAACACAGTTTAACAAATGCTGAACTTAAACAGTCCTATGGATTTGCCCCCCTTCATTTTTGCATATTTTTTTAAGTCCAGAATTTCAGGGAGCATGAGGGCAGTTGTTGAATGCTGATGTACAGTTTCAGGGTGCTTTGCCTGACCACTTTCATTTTTTTTTTTTTTTTGCATAGCTTGTGAAACTTGACAGTCTCAGTGCCTATTGGAATGTCGCCTGCTGCATGTCTTACCATGGATCCAGGGAGCATATCTTGGTAATTTCAGTCTCTGCCTTGAAACGCTAACTACACACCAAAGGTGTGTTTGAAAGGGAGGTCAGGCTGTCAGTCATTTGTTTAAATGGCCTGTCACCAAAACATAGGTGTGAAAACACTTAAACTCCACCTGTCTCTTCGGAAGACCACTGTGAGTCTGAAGATCTTTTTGAAACCATTCACTCGACAGTGACAGGGGAGCCCTTTACAGTGTCCTCTGAGGTTGTTCATACTTACTTTGGTGGAATTCTTAATATACTGTTTCCTGTGAGGATTAGGAGTGTCGTGACGATGCCACCTGTTGGACCCAGAACACGTGTGTCTTACATGTGTTTAAATAGCTGTGATGATGACATCCTACAGGCTGGATAGGCATTCAGTGTTTCAGTGTACTGAGCCAGGGTCTTATGTCTTCAGTTAGAGGAGAGGGGCAGGACTCCAGAAACACTCTGACGGACTCAGCCTCCGACCAGGACTTTGTGGCTATGTATCTGTCTGTGGGTGGTTCTCACAGAGAGGAGTGTAGTTACATTCCGAGATAGTTAGGTCTTTGTGTCCTTATTGTAAAGAAAAACACCTATAAATTTTTTTTCTTTTTTTTTCAAAGTTTATTAAATTATGAAAGTTTCCATTTCCGCCCCTCCTCCCAACACCCTCCCACTCTCCCCCTCCCCCTCCTCCTCCCTCTCCATCCCTAAGAGCAGTCAGGGCTTCCAGCCCTGTGGGAAGTTCAAGTTCCTCCCCCCTCCCTCCAGGTCCAGGAAGGTGAGTATCCAAACAGACTGGATCCCAAAAATCCAGTATATGCAGAGGAAACAAGTCCCAGTGTCATTGTTAGTGGCTTTTCAGAAAGGCTCCAGACCAGCCACATTCAGAGAATCCGGCCACATTCAGAAAATCTTGTTGGATCACATGCTCGTTCAGTCCCAGTCCAACTGGCCTTGGTAAACTCTCATTAGATCCGTCCCCTTGTATCAGTGGGTGATCGCACCCCTCGCGGTCCTGAGTTTTTTTTCATGTTCTTCCTCCTTCTGCCCCTCATTTGGACCATGGAGGACTCAGTCCGGTGCTCCAATGTGGGTCTCCGTCTGTATCGCCATCCATTGTCGGATGAAGGATCTATGGTGATAAGCAAAATCTTCATCAGTATGGTTATAGGCCAAGGCCGGTTCAGGCACCCTCTCCTCTGTCTAGAGAACAGTCTGGGGATCTCTCCTTGGACCTGGGATCCCATTTATAATCAAGTCTCTTGTAAACCCTAAAATGACTCCCTTAGTTGAGATATATTCTTCCCTGATCCCATATCCATCCTTCCTCCCTCCCCCCATCTCAGTCCCCCGAGTTTTCCCCATTCCTCTCCTACTCCCTTCTCTCTAACCCTCTCCCCTTCCAACAACCCTCCCACCCACGCCCCCATGCACCTGAGGTTACCTGGGACTCTTGTCTATTTCCAATCGCCAGGAGGATAAGTACATGATTTTCTTCAGGTTCACCTTAACACCTATAAATTTATGCTTTGTATTTTTCTTATGGACGAGTTGTTACAAAGATAGCAATGAAGGTACTGATGTGAGAACCATTCTTTAGTTTTTTTATATATGTGGATAAGTGTGTATTTGTCTTTCATTCTTAAATCTCTTTAGGATCAGCTGAAGCATGAAATTCTTACAAGTAAAAACATCCCTCCAGATCATCAGTACAGTGAGTACCGAGGGGAGTTGATTTAAAGAAGAGACAGGGAGGGCTAAATGAAGTCACTTTGACAAACAGAATGCATTAATTTTATGGTATTTCACTATACAACATGTGTGTTTCGGTAGTAGCTCCTTATGGTTACTGGACTGTAACCATACTGTCCTGGGGCGGGGGGTGTCTCACCTACAGTCCTCTTGCTTCGGCCTCTGCTCTCTCTTACCTTGTTTAGGCTCTTTGTTTTGAAGTTGAGGCCCCTTCCCTCCTGCTTATCTTCCTTCAGTCTCCCCTCTCTTGCTTCCTCCTTTTCTCTTTTCTCCTCTCTCCCTTTTGGAATCTTTGGATTTGTTTTTATTCAGTGAACTTTGTAATTCTTCGTAATCATTATTAACATCCATGTCCATTTCTTTCTACATTTCAAATTGTCCTGGTCCTGGTTTATGTTTGTACACTTGAGTAATGAAATTTTAAAGTGATCCCAGTTTATAAAAAATTTTAGTTTCATTGATGGTAACTAGTTCAGAGAGTGTACAACTTAATTCTCAGGCATTTATGAGTAATATAAGTCAGTTAGAATGTTATACAATCTAATACAAATTATAATTACCATAAGGTAATACATCTATATGACTTTGATACTATCTGTAGTCATCATCTTGAGTAGGCTTCTTGTTTTTGCTGTCACTCAACCTCACAAACAAAAAAAAGAGTATTTTTTGTTTTTCTTAAGGTTGTCTGTGTATGATCAATTTAAAAACAGTGTACTGATAGTTTGTTCCCTAGGATGTTTTTTTTATGTTTCTGTTTCTAAATTTCATCAAAGATTAAGACAAAAATTTGATTTTATTTCTCTCCCCGTTTAATATTTTAAATGAACCATTATTAAATCACAGAGAAACCCAGTTTTAGATGGGGTCTGTCTGTATTCCATATATACCTTTCCTGGGATCACATGACTCCATTTAACTCTAGGGAGATTGGGGTTAGCCAGTGAGCGCCCTAATTTGTTTTACACGGGTAAGGGGAAACCTCATGTGTATATATATATCTCTTCTCTCTCTCTTTCTCTGTGTCTCTGTTTTCTCTCTTTTAAAATTGAAATAGATTTTTTCATGCAGTATATTCTGATCACTGTTTTCCCTCCCTCATCCCTTCGCAGATACTCTATATCCTCATTTTTCCAACTTCACACCTTTCTCCGTCTTTAGAAAATAGACAGATACAAAAACAAAAAAAAAAAACAGAATAGAAGAAAACAGAGAAAGAAAATCAACAAAAAAAGAAGCATGGAAGCACACACACATGCAGAGATACAGGCACTCGCAGAAAAACCATAAAAATGCAGACTTGAAAGCCATAATATATAAATAAAAGACTAGTAAGGTAAAAAAAAATGCCCAGACAAAGCATAATGAGACAAAAATAAACATCCAAAATTACCAGTGAGTTAGTTTTGTGTTGACTATCTATTGCTGGGCATGGGGCCTGTCCTTAAGTGTGGTTTGTATACATACCCAGTGAGACTCCCTTTCCTTCGTGAAGTCGTCAGTTGGAGGTAGCTTCTTGGTTAGGGATGGGAAATCATGTCTTCTTCCCCCCCCCCCCAGCTTGGACCTGTGCAGGCCCTGTGCCCACTGCCACTCTCTCTGTGAGTTCAGATGCCTTGCACATTTCTTGATAGTGATTTTTTACATATACATGATATCTTTTACTTTTTTTACTATCAAAGTGCAATATTCTCATAATTATTCTCAGCTATTCATAGTTAAGAGCATGTAAACATACCTTATGTCTTCCCATGTGATGTCAGTTTTCCAGCCAATATCAGCCTCTGCAAAGCTCTACATGAATCCCTGTGCAGAATCAGAGCTCAAAACACCCAAACTTGATGGGAACATAGAAGTCCAAAATATTGCCATTGAGCTGACGAAGCCCCAGGTAAGGTTCCCGTGGATAACTCTGGCTTTAATCAGCGTTGAATCCTGATTTTCAATTGTCCTTTTCATTAGTCATTCTCTATGGTCTGGTGGTACTTAAGTTCTGTTGACTTTTGATGCAACCCCCCCTCAAAAAAAACCCAACCCCCCCCAAAACGGGGTGTGGGGGACTTAAAAGAGAAATGTCAGAGAAATAGTTTCCATTAATCTGACCCTTTTCACAAGTGATACTTGATCTTATTAAACTGTAGTGAATGATATTTTCTTTGAATTCATAATTATAGGAGAATTTTAGTGTGCTTTTCTACTCTCATTTTCTCTTCTCATATTTTAGACTTTGTGTGTGTGTGTACATGTGTGCATGGGTATGGGGTTGAAGAACCACATGAAAGAAAGAGTCAGTTTTCTCCCTCTACCTTGTAGGCTCTGTAGGTTTAACTCAGGTTGTCAGGCTTGGCACCAGCCTTTTATCCCTGGGCCATCTTACCACCTTTTTAGTTTTTTTAAAAACTTTATTTATTAATTTATTTCTATTTATATATACTGTGTAAGGCTCTGTGAATATATGAGCTGAGGGAGATGAAGTGAGGGTGTTGGGTTCTTTGGAACTGGAGCTATTGGGGTTATGAACTGCCATGTGGGTACTGGAATTAAACCCAGGTCCTTTGCAGGTTAGAGCAGCCCCTGCTCCTAACCCCCAACTCATCTCAGATTCTAATAGCAGACACTCAAGTACCATTCCTTCAGTTTTCAGAGCAACTGTTTTTACTGTGTTTATTTTCTAAGTTTTATAACCTTGAAGGGTTTGGGTAGCAGCCCTGGAGACTTGAATTGAGAGGAAAAGAAGTGTTGATGCCTGGGCTTTTAGTTTGATGCTCTCTAATAAGTGGAATGTAAATGGCCTTTGTCACTTTAGATTTTCTAATAGCTGCATTACCAAAAGGGAAAATAATTATTTTTCATCTGTTTATTCTTGCCTGGTCCAGAACTCACTATATAGCCTAGGATGGCTTTAAACTTGCAGTAATCCTCCTGTCTCAGCTTTCTTAGTGCTAGGATTATAGGTGTGTAGCTTAAAATAAACCCCAATAATCTATTTTACTTAATGTTCTATAATTTTATTTCATAGAATTGTGAATATAAATTGTAACTAGGTATTTTATTTTGTATCATTTCTATTTTATTGCTTTGAAATCTGGGATGTAGTTTATTGTTGAAGTTTAGGCTAGATACGTTTCTCAGGTAACCCTCAGGTAGAACTGTGTTAAGGAAACTTCAAAGGAAGTCAGACTTTCTCTGTATCAACTTGTGACCATTCTCACCTGTTCTCTGTGTGTTTCTCTTCATTTGAACTGTTTGTCATGCTTACACAGCACAAAGTTGTGTTGGTAGGAAATCGAGAGCTCAGATAGCTTCATCTTGCATAGCTATGTATCGATTTTCTGGAGTGGATTGGGAGTCAGTTCCTATAGCTGTGGCAAAGATGAAGGTCCAGAGAAAAGTGGGCAGGTTTAGAAACACAAATACAATCAATACTAGGAGGCACTCCATTTCACTGTTGCCAAGTTATATATTTATTTCTCATTTCAAAGTATCTGAAGAAAGTTTATTATTGGTCTTATGACAGTTTGAATACCAGCACAGTTTTCTTTATAGAAAAACTTAAAATATTGTGCTTTAATTTTCAATTGATAATCTCAGGTTTAATCAGGTGTAGTTGTTAGATTATTGAATTATCAGAGATTTTGGGGTCCTCTAGAAAAAGAGATGCAGATCTAATTTTTATTTGCATGTTCAGTGTAACAAACCTAATTTGATCTTGTCTCAATAGTACTTAAGCATGATTGACTTTTTGGAGTCGCTGGATTATATGGTTAGAAATGTACCATATAGGAAGTATAAACCTTGCTTACCACTTCACACCAATTGTCGGCAATGGTAAGTTAGAATTTGTTGTTTTTATTTAAAATTATTCTCTGTCTGTCTGTCTGTCTCTCTCTGGGTACACATGCACATGTGTTGTAGATGTGAAGATGTGTTTGTTAGCTGACTGTTTGGAGACTGGAGGTTGATGGTGATTTCTTTCTCAGTCATTTCTCTATTCTCCACCCCTACTTTTTGAGACAGTCTCTCTCTGAATCTGGAACTCTCCCATTTCAGCTCTCCTGACTGGCCAGCCAGCCCCTGAGCTCTACCTTTTTGTTCTACCCTTCTTTCCCTCAGCACTGGGACTATAGATGTGCACTAAGGAACCTAACTTTTACATGCATTATGGGGATGCAAACTCAGGTACTTGAACTTGCTCATGAAACACATGGACCACCGAGTCATCTTTATTTTATGAGAAATGAATAATCATATATTTCAGGCATTCAGAGTTAAGAAATTTTTAGAGTCTAGTTGTCTGATGTAGGAGTTCCCTCTGTGTGTTGTGATTACCCTTAATGAATAAAGAAACTGCCTTGGCCTGTTGATAGGGCAGAACTTAGGTAGGTGGAGAGGACTGGACTGAATGCTGGGAGGAAGAAGGGCAGAGTCAGGGGACGCCATGGAGCCGCTGCCGCTGGAGATAGACATGCTGAAACTTTGCTGGTAGGCCACAACCTTGTGGTGCTGCACAGATTAATGGAGATGGGTTAAATTAAGATGTAAGAGTTAGCCAGTAAGAAACTAGAGCTAATGGACCAGGCAGTGATTTAATTAATACAGTTTCTGTGTGATTATTTTGGTTCTGGGCGGCCAGGACAAACAAGCGGTTCCTTGCAAAAGTTGTCTAGACTCTTCCGAAACAATAATAAAAGAGAGATCTTTTCTGTCTGTGCTACTGTTGTTTTTGTTTTCTCCTCACAAACGCCTTCTTTTATATTCTGCTTCTGGATTCTCAAAGTTTTATCTTCGCGTTCAAGACTTTGAGCATGTTTAAAAAAGTCTTGTCAATCATCCACATGGATTCAAAATTATCATTGGTAGAACACAGCCCTGTGTTAGGGTCCTGGAGAAGCTCCACAGAGGCCCCTTCCAAACTGTCCCACAGGACTGCAGCAGCTTAGCAACTGTAGTAAGTTTCTCCCTGCTGCCCCATCATGCCCAGGCATGGGCCTGAAAGTCCTTGTAATGGTCCAAAATAAGACACAAGGGAGGAGGTTGAGTTTGACTGGCCCACTCCTATGAGAAGTGATGAGATAATGCTACAGACAGAAAGACATAAAAATAACACTAACAGAAATGTACTGTTATGGTGTACAAAAAAAAAAAAACCAACAAAGAAGCCAGGGGTAGCTGATGGCATGTCTCCCTGGGAAGTTCCATTTGCTGCGGGGGCGACCCACTTTTCGGGCTCAACCAAAGAAACCTTCTGTCCCTCCCAGGTAGGTCTGGGATGTGTCCTGGCCCATGAGGTGGAGGTGCCTCTATTGCGTCCATCCGCCAAAACCCCAGCCTTCGATTCAGTTAGCTCGAGCCTCCTGGAGAAAGAAACACAGAACATGGACCAGAGTGACAGTCAGAACAGTGAGAGACCAAAACAAAGGGCACTCGTATGTTAGGGGCCTCTGGGGGACCTCCCAGCCAATGCACCATATGTTAGGGTCCAGGAGAAGTTCCACAAAAGACCATCGTCCACTTACGCAATCAACAAGAGCGTTTATTTTGAGAACAAAAATACCTGCATGCGGGGGTGACAAGATGGCGACTGATGGAGAGGCTTGCAGGCTTTTAAACCAGATTAGGGGAGTTCCAGGGAGGGAGATTAGCCTGGGGCTGATAGATTGGTAGGTGGCCCTAGTGTTCAGGGACTTTCCAACAGCAGGTTAGGGAAAGCTATCTTTAGCTAGCAGGAGACTCTGGTAGTCAGCTGAGCTAAGAGAAGGCTGCGGGCCGCTTGCTGATTGGTTGCCCCTGAGTTGTAGTTTTCCGAGAATTGCATGCTCAGCTCCAGCCACTTTCAGCAAACTGAAACTACGGCCTCATCCCTGGCAGGGGCTATTAGAAACCTGTCATGGCTCTGGTCTGGCTCCCTGGCCTTCTTCCCTATATAACTTATAGGGGAGTTACATGAAATAGTGTATTATGTGAAATGCTTGTCACGGTTGTGTGGGCATCATGCAGTGTAAACTAAGATAGCTGTGACATCCCAAGATAATAAATATAATTGTATGAAGTCACTGTGCTGTATGTGGTCTGCCTTTTAGCAAAAAGTCGCTGTCCAGCATGACTGTCCAGCTTTCCACACGTATCATTTTGTGCCTTTGTGTGTTGGCTTTGACATCCTCTTCCTGGACTGTTTCTTTGCTCCTCTATTTAGGTCAGAGAGTTGTACTGGGAGCTTGTAGTATTACTATTGGAGTTACTGGCTAGTGAAGAAGAAGAACAACAACAAAAAAATCAACAATGTATCTCTGAAAAGTCAAAAAACTATTTTCTTATACCCTTATATTCATGTGTACATTAACAAAATTTGACTTTAGGTGGAAATATGCAATTGATTCTGTTCTTGAAGTTCATATAAGAAGATATACTCAGATGTGGTCATGGAGTAACATAAAAAAACATAGGCAGTTACTCAAGAGTTACAAAATTGCCTACAAAAACAAGTTAACACAAGCAAAAGTCTCAGAAGAAATACAAAGACAAATTCAGGTATGTTTCCCCTATGTTAGTTTTGGTATATGTATAAACACCCTTTGATATTCTTTGCTTATTTATTTGAGACAGGGCCTCACTCTGTAGCTTTTGCTGTCTTGGAACTCACTCTGTAGCCCAGGCAGACCTTGAACTCACAGAGATCTGCCAGCCTTCTGCCTCCCAAGTGCTGGGATTAAAGGTGTGCACCACCACCGCCCAGCTCCTTAATATTCTTATATATACAGTTTGAATTAGAATGTATTTGACAAAGAACAGACTTATTGTTTTGAGAATTACTTGAAAAATAGAGTATTCTTTATTTTTTTCTTTCTTCCTTTTTATTAACCAGCAATCTCTTTTCCCTAACACAATGTCACATATGGTAAAACTCCTACAGACTCTTTTGGAAAATGTATTTGGTTTTTCTAATACTGTTTAGAAAATGGACATCAGACTCATTAAATGTTCATTTGTTAGATCTTGTTCTGATCATAAAAATCCTAGAACTTATATAGTACTGTTATTTCCTTTTTGGAGCTTAAAGTATAATTTTATAAACAAAACAAAACAACAACCCTTTCCTCCTTGAGGAAGGCTTGGGGTTTTACTTGTGCCCTGAATACAGAACTTGGTTATTGCTGCCATTGAGGCACAGTGTCTGGGATGCGAGAGTGGGCTGGACTCTTGCTTCTGAACCGTGATGATCACCATGTGACATATCGGGAAAAGCATAGGAATGGGAGCCAAAGATGAGGACTCAGGTGCTGGTGCTTACCGGATGTCTGGTCTTAGGCACAGGCTTTTCAGCTTCTCAAGTACAGTACTTCTTTCTCCTCAGCAGCAAAGCGAAGGCTGTGCTTGTCTTACAGTCCTAAGAGAAGCACAGACAAAATACACAAGTTACCCGAGACACGGGCCAGCCAGTGAGTGTTAGAGTCTTAGTTCCTCCTTTAGTCTGTGTGCTCACTCTAGTAATTTGCATTCCTTTTTGTTTTTGTAATGATATCTTGGCTATAAAATAGTACAGACTAGGGGAGAGTAAGAAGTAAGAATCACACACACACACACAATACCTGACTAAAAATTTTATGTCTTTAAAATTATGTAAATGAAGCACGATTAATAAAAATTCAGAGAGAGAAATTGGGGTTCAACCTGAAGATCCCGAAAAGCAACAATGGCTCTTACCTTGACCTTAGTCTGAAATGGTGATCCTGCCTCCTGGAATCTCAGAATGAGCCTGAGCCTGAGGACTCTTTCCTCCCATTTTATAATCCTCTCTAGGGTTGGGATTAAAGGCTGTACCACCCAGTTTCTATGGCAACTAACCATACCTGCAATAAAGGTATATGTTACCACTGTGTGGTCTGTAAGGGTGACCAGTGGGGCTGTTTTACTCTCTGAATTTGAGCAAGCTTTGATTTATTAAAATACAAATGAAATGCCACTACAAGTATATATGCATGTCTGTGTGTGGATTTGTACACACAAGTACAAAGTACAAGGAGGCGAGAAGGGGGCATCAGTTGCCCTGGAGCTGGAGGTAAAGGTGACTGGGAGCTGTCAGAGGTAGGTATTGGGAAGTAAATTCCAGTCCTCTGCAGGGAATTCAGAGCTGTTTTCCAGCCATCTCTTCAGCCCTACACATCCCTTTTCTAAAAAAAAAAAAAAAAAAAAAAACAAAAAAAACCAAAATCCTTTTAAAAGATGTATTTATTTTGTTTTATGTTTGTGAGTGTTCTGCTGGCATGTATGCCTGTGCACCATGTGTATGCCTGGTGCCTGTGGAGGTCAGAAAGCGCATTAGATCTCCTGCTGCAGATGGTGGTGACCCTCCATGTGGGTTCCGGGAACTGAACTTGGGTCCTTTGTTAGAGACCAGCGGTCTTGCCCTCTGAACCGTTTCTTCAGCCCCACCACAGCTCCCATTGTAAACATTCTTGCTTTTATGAGCAGTTATCTATGATGCCTCACAGAAGGAAACTTTATTTTCAAACTATTCAATAAGGATTCAATTTCTTATAAAACCTTTACTTCTCTTACTATGAAAAGTAAAATAATTAGGAGCCTAATGTACATTTTAACTCATGCTTTCATTTGATCACTGTCCGTATTGGTAATGACTGGATGAATCCATCAATCATGTTTTTTATATCATCATTATTTCTCTTGTTTTGCAGGACTTGGAGAAGAGTCTAGATGTTTTTAACATTATTTTAGTGAGACAACAAGCACAAGTTGAGGTAATCATTTTGGTTAACTGACTTTAGTTTTTATTAATCATGTTACTATTACTATTTTAAACCCAGAATAAAGAAATCTTCATTTTATGGGAAGTTGCTGAGGTTTACCCCAATGACAATATAGGGTCTTTATTGCTTCATTTAGTCTCTAGAGAAAAGTAACTGGAAAAAAGCTGCTAATGTGAGAAAGAAGGGCTTTAAAATCGTGTGATCTAAAACTTATAAAAAGTGAGTCTGAGTTCTCCACCAGTCTAGCAACTCAGAGCTTTACAGTTAACATTTTACATGTTACAGTTAACATGACTTAGCATACTTACTTTAGCTTTTTATCTACTCATTACTTAATTTTAAAAAATACGTTCTTTCTCCATTCCTCTTCCTTCTTATTTCTTCCCTTCTGCTGTTTTTCTCTTTCTTATTTTCCAAAATCAGGACAATTTCTCTATCATATTTTTTCCTGCCTGCCACCAGGACTTGGTCTACCCTGTTCTTTCTGAGTTACTTCTCTTCCTTCTAGATTATGCTTAAGTGTGTGAACTTGAAGGTCAGATGGTCCCAGTTTTTCAGGCTTTTGATTTTGTGACCTGTGCTAGCAATTTAATTGCTTTGTATTTTGGTTTTCTCATTTGTAATGGGACCTGTGTCCTGTCCTTTTTGTGGGGACAAATAGCAATAGTTCAGTTAAAATACTTGGGCTGTTAGGGGCCTGGCCTTCAGGAATGACTCAGTGACTCAGGGATGGTGATCTTGATCTTCTTCTTCTTCTTCTTCTTCTTCTTCTTCTTCTTCTTCTTCTTC